CGGAGGACGACCCGAGGAGCATGGGGGCCCCGTCAGAGGAGCGGAAGGCCCGCTGCGCGTACATGCCCTGCAGAATCATCAGCGCCAGCCCGCCCGTGCGCCGCCCCGTGAAGAGCGCGCCCTTCATCCCGGACTCCTGGGCGGCCTTGACACTCCGCGCGCAGCGGCACATGGCCTCGGCCAGCCATTCCGCGTACCAGGCGCCGTCGTCCCACGTGCCCGACGGCGGTTTGGGGATGCGGTGTTCCTGCCTCTTGCGGCTTCGGAACAAACAATCGTAGACGACCTGCATCATGGGGGTCTCGAGCCACGTGACCTTGTGCCACGGGCCAGAAGCCTCGATGTGAACCCGGTCTTGCCGCAGTTTCTCGTCCCACGCCACGAACACCTGCACTAGGACAGAGTCCGGGGACGCCGGCACGACGGGTTTCCTGCAGCTCGTGTCTACTATGATCTCCTGGACGAGCGCGCGAGGGGCACCTGCGGGGCCGCAGACCGCGTCGATGGTGTCCGTGCCCCAGTTCGGGATCTCGTTATCTTTAACGCACTGCTCGAAGAGGACACGGTCGAACATCCGCTTGGTCAGGCCGTGCAGCCTCGGGTGCGCCAAAGAGGGGGACCAGGAAGAATGGGGTAGCGCGTCATGGTCCGAGGCATGTGCGCGTATGAGGTGAGGGGGCCAGGGCATGTATTGAAACGGGGAACCACGACGTCTGGGAATTGTCATCGGGACGAACATTGTATCCACACACACAAGCACACACACAAACACACACACACACACAAACACACACGCACACGCACACGCACACGCACACGCACGCACGCACACGCACACGCACACGCACACGCACACGCACACGCACACGCACACGCACACGCACACGCACACGCACACGCACATGGCACTCATCCCCCGCGACGCCCTGGTGGCTTTCGGGCCATAACTCGGGCCCGCTGCGGCCGTTCGGGGCGATCCAAATGCCCCCTGAAAGCTCGCGGCGAAGCGCAACGGCGAGAAAACATCCCGAGGCCAAAACACTTCGAAATCTTCGGCGTTCCCGAGCAGCCCGCTCTTGACTTCCTCGAAAAGGTCTGGGCTCGCAGCGCCAACGGCCGAGTCGTGCAGCAACTTCCGGTAGACCTCGTCGCGGATGTTCACGCCGAACGTGCACCGCACGCCCCCAGAGGCGCGTTCTGCCGCGACCACGACGGGGAGCATCGTCCACTTGTAAAAGTCATTGAAGCAGCTTGCTGGCAACGCCTCCCCGTTCTGGAGCTCTCCGTTGGGACCGAAGCTGCTCAGCGCATTCGAGACCTGGAAAAAGGAAGGGAGCATCTCCATCACCAAAAACCTCCACAAACCCAGTTCGGGCCCGAATCTTGGCGACGATACCACCCCTGCCAGGCCAGAGGGGGCACACATCCACCAAGATGTTGGTCCAAAATTGGCGTGGAGGCGCGGTGGTGGCGTACAATCATCCCCATAGCACATGTCTTGTAGCGATTAACGAAATCAATATGGGGGGACAGTTAAACAAAATAGTGAGTCCCAGAGCTGTAGTGCGCACGCAGTAAAAAGGAAGGCGGAGCAAACTGGACCGCCGGAGACGTCCCCGCGACTGCCCTGGCGCTCCGCGTGCAGGGGCGGAATCCTGCGCACCACCTCTTGGCGCCAGGCCGCGCCGGCCACGCCCTGCGAACTTGGCATCCGTTGCCCCCCCTCCCTCCGTCTCCATCGTTCCCTTTCCCTGCGCCCTCCTCTTCATGACTGCCAGCGAAAGATGACCGTAGCAACGTCGTACTTAATTCGAGGAAATGATCCCCCCCCCGCCGAGGGGGGGGTCCCGGGGGGTTCCAGGGGGGGGGGGGTCAGATACGCATCCGCCCCTGGGCGCCCCGGAGCCCAAGGAAACGCCAAGACGCGCCAAGAGTGCCCTAAGAGGCTCCCAAGAAGGTCCAAGAGTGTCCCGAATCGTCGAAAAATGTGTCCAAGACGCTCTCACGGCTTCCAGGCGGGTCGAGAGGCGTGCAAGACGCCCCCCAAAGCATCCAGGATCACTCCCAGGACGGCCCCCATGAGGCAACATTCATTGATGTCCTATGCGTTTTGCAACCGTTTAAGCTTTCAGGCCTCTTCCGCTCCCCGACGATACCAACCGGCCCAAGAGGCTTGCAAGAACACCTGGAGACGGCCCCATCTCTAAGAGAGTCCCACGAATGCCCACGAGCAGTCTAAGTCTAAGACAGCTCGAGACGCCTCCAGGACGGCCCAAGCAACCCCCAGGAACGCTCCAAGAGCGTGCCCAAACGGTGACGCGAACGGACACTTCGAGCCCTCGGGCCCAAGAGGCCCTCAAGGAGACCTCAGGAAACCCCGGAAGGCCCCAAAGCGGGCCCCAAAAGGCCTCCTAATTTCCCCCTATCATGGCGCGCCGCCGAGCTCTCCCGGGCCGAAAGGGACCACGAACCAACATGTCGAGCTTCCCGCCCCAAGAAGCCACCGGAAGGTCCCAAGAGTCCGTCGAGGGGCCCCAAGAGCCCTTCAAAGGGCCCGAAAAGGTCCCCGAAGAGACCCCCAAATTTCTGCGCGGGCAGGATTCGCTGGCCGTCCCAAGCCTCCTCCCTGTCAAAAAGCGCCAGCAAGCGTTGTCCTGCAAGCGTGGTACAAATTCTGGCTACGGAGACAGGCTGCGCCACGCTGGCTGCCAGGCGGAAGGGGGCTAGGGCGGGAAAAGCAGGCGGACGACGACGGACGCCCCAGGCGGGAGGCCAGGGCCGGCGGGGCTGGCGGGCAAGCAGGAGAGGGGCCACGCGGGGACAGCAGGCAGGGAGCAGGAGGAACAGAAAGGGAGGGAAGCAGCGAGCAGAAAGGGAGGGAGGAGGAGAAGGAGACGAGGACGGGAAGCAACCGCGAGCAGACGGGCCAGGCCAGGGGCCGGGAGAGAAAAGCCACCCGCGACGAGGCTGCGGCCCCTGCGGCGGCGACCTGGGCGGTGTGGCCGACCGAGCCCAGCGCGCTGCGGCTTGGTGGGGATTGCCCTCTGCGGGATCCACCGCCCCGCCGAGGAAGGGCCGGACGGCGCGCGTGAGGGGTCGGCGGCGCGCCACTGGCGAAAGGGCGCGGGGGGCGCGCGCGTACGACAGTGTCCCAGTAAGACGAGAACTACCTACTCGTCTAGAGAAGGAGCCTGCACATCTGCACGCATGCAGTTCATGCGCATCTACCAATGCATGCGCGTGCGTGCGTGTATACACGCATATATGTATACAAACATACATGTGTGCATTTCTCAATCGCATCGTTCGGCCCACGTGGCAGATTTCCCAAGGGAGACATTTAACATAATAGTTATTCGGCTGCGAATTAATGGCAGTCGGGATCTGGGGGGGGAGGGGGGGTCATCATTTTTGTTAACAGGTTTTGGACATTACGGAACGAAAGTATTCTTCTGGACATTGCGAGCCTCGGTGACGAATAGGTTCCGCGACTCAGATCTAAGGAACGGCCGTACAACCAGAGCCCCTCCTGGGCCCAAAGGGGTTCTTACTTCAGCGGCTTAGCTGTATACTGCCCCTCCGGGTCCCGTCCAAAAACTGCTGGAGGCGGATGATGAAGGCCTCCCAAGCGATGTCCGAGTAGATGGGGTCGTTATCTGCGTGGATAAAGTCGGGTTCCACATCGGCGATGCATTGGTGATGCGGAGCAATCCTCCGACCTCATCTACTCGGCTCTTAAATATGTGAGGCGTAGACATGGTGAGAAAGAGGAGGAGCAGGAGGAGAAAGATTACAGGGACCTCGAGCCAGTTGCTGTCCAGAAACTGCTGGATCTCCGAGGCCCCTGGGGTCCCGCTCTTCTGCCCCAGCGCCCGCACCAGCCGCTCGAGGAGCGTCGCGCTGGCCCCGGGCACCTCGACAGGGCAGAGAGGAGGAGGAGCATGAGCATGACTGGGGCGCAGTCCAACTGCTGAACCACTGCACTGCCTACAGTGGGGGCCAGTCAACAAGAAACCTTCTGCAAGAAACCCAACCCTGAGACCCCAGGACGTCCATCGATTCCTGGTGTGGGAACGTCACGCTTGCCATGGCACAACCATCGAAACCCAAGAAACCCAGGGCACCCTGGAGGCAAGCAGAGCGTTTCTTGGCATGGGTCTCCACTGTACTCCACATGGTGGATGGGAAGAAGGATGAGAATCGGCGGCGAGCCGGAGGGAGAATTGGAAGTGAGCAGGCCTGCTCATCATCATCATCATCATCATCATCATCATCATCATCATCATCATCATCATCATCATCATCATCATCATTATCATCATCATCAGCATCATCATCATCATCACCAGCATCATCATCATCAACACCACCATCATCACCATCACCACCACCATCAGTATCATCAGCATCATCATCAGTAGCATCAGCGGCAGCATCAGCATCATAATTGGCATCAAAATCAACAACATCATAATCGTCATCGTCATCGTAACCGTCATCATCGTCATCGTCGTCATCATCACCATCAACAGAGTCACCATCACCATCACCATCACCGTCACCATCACCATCAGCAGCAGCAGCATCATCAGCGTCATCATCAGCAACATCATCATCATCGTCATCAGTATCATCAGTATCATCATCAGCAACATAATCAGCATCATCGTCAGAAACAGCGTCAGCATCATCATCAGCAGCATCATCGTCATCAGCATCATCATTATCTTGAGCACCATCACCATGACATGACCATCACCATGAGCATGGCCATCACCATGATCTCACCATTTTAATCACAATGTATCTCCGCATAATCGTATCAATCCCTCTCATCATCGTCATCATAGTCATGTTCACAATCAACACCATCATCATTACGTATCCTCTTCCTGTCGCCACCGGATCCTTCCCCTCTGTCATTCTCGGTGTGAAGCGAAGGCGCTTGGCTGCCTTGCCTCGCTGGGGTCCGGGAGCGCTAACTCCTCGTAGTCGTCCGCCTGGGGCGGCGCCAGGGAGGACCCGAGACCATTAACGTTTCGAGAATCGAGAATCTCAATGCAGATTTGTTTCGAAGCTTTCGGGCTCTGGGAACCCTCGCTGGGCCACGGGACCGTACAAACATGTCTAACAAGAAATGGCCCAATATAAGGAGTCGCCCCTGGGCAAAAGACCTCCAGGGACCCCGCATTGAGAAGCTCAAGACATCGCATGTCCAAGACTGGAAGGCCGGCGTCGCCGCCGTCACCCGTAAAGACGGAACCGCCGTCGTCGTTTGCGACGCCGCCAGCGCCGCCGTCGTTGCCATTAGCGACGTCGCCGTCGACGAAGCGAGGAAGTTTGGGGAGAGGGGGGGCGGCAGGAAGGTGAGCAGGGAGGGCAAGCAGAGGTCACATGCAATCGTTGACCGCTCTTGCGCCCGTAGAGCATGTCGGGCAAAAGGCATCCTGCGAGCGCAGCCCTGCAAGCGAAACCAGCGCCAGGCCAGAGGCGGGGGGGCGGGCGTGGCGGAACACGCCCCTGAAGCTGCCACGACCACCCGGAGGGCAAGGAGCAGGAGTCGGCGGCGCGCCCAGGGGGAGGAGAGGCAGAGGGAGCGGGCCTTCTCAGAAGGCTCACGAAGCCTCTGGCGTTCCGATCAGCCTTTTAAGCAATCTCCGGAGCCCGGGAGGGTTTCTCAGAAGGCGAGAGGAAGCCCCGCCGACGTCTGAGAAGGCCTGTTTCCTTTCCATTCCCCCGCTCGGCACGCCGCCGAAAGAGAGAGAGAGAGAGAGGGAGGCGGGACACCCAAAAACGGCCAGGCCCTCCGCGGCACACGAGCGCCCCGGGGGCAGCAGCGGCGCGGCTGGCAGCGGGAGTGGACTGGCGAAAAGCCCACATCGTCTGATGCCGGCGGTGCACCAGTCCAGGGAGTCCAGGACTGAATACACGACCAAGGGACAAATGCAAATCACAAGCACGTGAACTGAAGCCACCAACGGAGCTGACGAATTCACACATGATTACCCCCAACATGGATTCGACATCCTGACGATTCAAGGTAAGTATTGAAGGTGCCAGACATCTCAGGCCGAACGTGCCTCCAGTAAGCATTGAGGCAAGGCAGATCGCAGCCGAAAAGATGCGGATGTGACGCCCTGGTCAAACTTGCCAGGGCGAATAGGAGGATGAGGAAGAGGAGGACGAGAAGGAGGATACTATGATTATGATGTCTGTCAGGATCACTACTCGGGCGTCTGGCGCCGAAACTTCGACTTCGATATGATGGGCCCACCCTCCATTTGACTACACGCAGTTACGCTGAGACTTCCAGGGCATGCAACGCACATCGAATATACACTACGTATGAACGTGCACTCACGTGCGGCGTGCGCGAAACTGAGCACCAGTGACCCGCAGGACCATCCGTTCCAGTACACCTGGCACCTATGCACACATAGACCAAGGCGGGAGAGACGAGGAGCGGAGCGGAGCGGACCACCTGTGCGAGAGGGAGCTCCTACTCAGGTGAGCGTGGCGTATTCTCAGCATGAGCTCTCGAGCAGCGTTGCGGCATACTCCGCGCACGAACCCCCTAGAATCTGCGAGCGGGCCTCCTGGGATGGAGCCCAGAACGAGACTGGCCCAGAGATCGGGACTGGCGCTGCGAGGCGAAGCACACTTTTCCCCAAATACCTTGCTGAACGGGGTGCTCTTGTGATAGAAGCAAGCCCTGGCCGAAGGACATGGGAGAAGAGACATCCTCAAACAAATCTCGTGGTCTGGGCCGTTTCGCGTGAGACATCCTCACAACTCTCGTTTCTGAAATGTCCCGGATTGGCCGTTTCGCCTGAAACATCCTCGAATATCTAAGCTCCGGGACAACGCGCGCGGTGGTCCGGGCCGTTTCGCTTGAGACATCCTTGAAACCCTACGCCCCGATATGCCGTGCGAGAGGTGGTCCGGGCAATTTCGCCTGAGACATCCTCGAAACTCTCAAGCCCTGAGATGCCGTACAAGAAGTGGCCCGGGCCGTTTTGCCTGAGACATCCTCGAACATCTGTGCTCCGCGGCGCCGCGCGCGAGGTGGTCCAGGCCGTTTCGCATAAGACATCCTCGCAACTCTGCGCTTCGAACTGCCGCGCGCGAGGTGGTCCGGCGCGTTGAGCTTGAGATATCCTCGCAACTCTGAGCTCCGAGCTGCCGCGCGAGAGGTGGTCCGGCGCCTTTCGCTTGAGACATCCTCGCACCCCTCAGCTCCGAGATGCTGCGCGAAAGGTGGCCTGGCCCGGTTCGCCTGACACATCCTTGCAACTCTGAGCTCTCAGAAAATGTGCGCAAGGGCGTGTGGCCTGTTTCGCTTGACAGATCCTTGCGCCGAGATGCTGCGGGCGAGGTGGTCTGGCCCGTTTCGCCTGAGACATCCTCGAAACTCTGGGTTCCGAACGGGAGGAGGCAGGGAGGAGGGGTTAGACCCAAACGAACCACTTGATTACCTATACGACCACCCTGCGGGTGATAAGGAGGTTGGGGGGGGCAGCAATGGGCAAAAGTGGTGATTGTTGTTCTGAAGATGCCTGAGGGGCGGAGTCTAGTGAGTCGGAGGTTGGGGGGTGAGATCGAAGTGTAACGGAGAGCCCCCCTACCGGGAAATCGGTTTCGGTTTCGTGTTCGTGCGTGCCGTGCGTGCGGGCGAGGCGAAGCTGCGTGGGCGGGCAAGAAGAAAGCCTCCTCCGGATGAGGCGCGGCCGGACCAAATGATTCCTCTCCAGGGGTCGGTGCCGCGCGGTGTCCCGCCGGTGTCCCGCCTCCAGCTGAGGCGCGGCCGGACCAAATGTTTCCTTTCCGGGGGCCGGTGCCGCGCGGTGTCCCGCCGGTGTCCCGCAGGTGTCCCGTCGATGCCCCGATGATGATGATGATGATGATGATGATGATGATGATGATGTTGATGATGGTGACGGTGATGCTGATGATGATGATAATGATGATGCTGTTGATGATGTTGATAATGATGGTGATTGTGGTGATGATGATGGTGTCCCGATGATGATGATGATGATGATGATGTTGATGATGATGATGTTGATGATGCTATTCATGATGATGATGATGATGGTGTCCGATGATGATGATGATGGAGATGATGATAATGTTGCTGATGATGATGATGGTGTCCCGATGATGTGATGTTGATGATCCGGATGATGTCGATGATGATGATGATATGATGAGGATGATGAAGATAAACATGATGATGGTGACCCGACGATGATGATGATGAGGTTGATGATGATGCTGTTGATGATGATGGTGATGATGGTGTCCAGATGATGATAATGGTGATGGTGATGATGTTGATGATGACGATGATGAATGACGATGATGGTGTCCCGATGATGATGATGATGTTGATGATGAGGATGCTGAGGTGATGATGCTGATGTTGATGATGGTGGCCCGATGATGGTGATGGTGATGATGCTGATGTTGATGATGCTGATGGTGGCCCGATGATGATGATGATGATGATGATGATGATGATGATGATGATGGTGATGGTGATGGTGATGGTGATGGTGATGGTGACGATGATGGTGTCCTGATAATGATGACGTTGATGATGTTGTTCATGATGATGATGAGATGTGTTTTGGTCACCAGCGGCCAGCGGGACACCGGCGGGACACCGCGAGCCACCGGCCGCCAGAGGAGAATCATTTGGTCTGGCCGCGGCCCAGCCACATGAGGATTTCCTCTCGCCCGCCCACGCAGCTTCGCCTCGCCCGCACGCATGCACGGCACGCACGCCACGAACCCGAAACCAAAATCGATTTCCCGGTAGGGGGGGTCTTCGTTTCACGTCGGACTCACCCCCCCAACCTCCGATACTGCTGTTGTCGAGTTGTGTTCAGGGGCGGGTCTGGGCGCCGCCTAACACATCCTGGGAGCTCTGAGCTCCCAAATATCGCACGCGAGATAGTCAAGCCTCAAGCCCGGCTCGCCCGAGACATCCTCGCAAGTCGGGGCTCCCATGCTAGAATTTGTGGGCTCCGAGATGGAAGAAAACTCAGACCCCAAATGAATCATGTGATTACACATCCGTTGTGAATTTGTGCTCTGGAAGGGGTCTGGGCGCCGCCTGAGGCATCCTCGTAGATCTGAGCTCCCAGATGTTGCGCGTGAGGTGGTCCAGCCTGCTTCGCCTGAGACATTTTGGCAATTCGGGTTCCGAGATGCTGCGCGCGAGGTGGTCTGGTGTGTCTCGCCTGAAACATCCTAGCATTGCTGGGTTCCCTGGAAATGTGCGCGGGGTGGTCGAATTCGTTTCGCCAGAAATCTGGGCTCTCAGAACATGTGCGCGAGGTGGTCAGGAGCGTTTCGCTTGAGACACCCTTGCAACTCGGTTCCAAAATGCCGCGCCACGTGGTTTGGTCTGTTTCGCTCGAGACCTCCTCGAAACTCTGGGCTCCGACACGGGGGCAGCGGAGCGAGGAGAGGCCAGACCCCAACGAACCATTTGATCCCACTTCGGTTGTTGATTTGTGTTCTGGGAGAAATCAGGGCGCCCCTGGCCCACAGGAGGAAATTGCTCGCACCAGCGCGCGAGCACGTTTTCTTGGCGAATTCACAAAAAGGGCTGGTCAGGGCGGAGCCATGCAAGAGCAACTCGTGGCAATGGGAGGACGTAGGCCGAGGAGAAAGGCAGGAGGAATGAACTCCGAGATGCTGCGCGAGAGGAACAATGGAGAGGGAGGCAGGAGTAGGCTCGAACGATACCTGTTGTTCGAAGGCATCCCATACGAGGGTGCCTCCTGGAATCGGCCCCGAATGTGCGAAGGCATCCCTGGCATGGCAGAGGAAGCGAAGAAGAGGAAGGGAGAGGGGGAGGAGGAGGAGGAGGAGGCGGATAACAAAAGGAAGCGGAGGAGGAAGAGGAGGAGGAGAAGGAGAAACTCCTCCTCCTCCTTCTGCGATGTGGGCCCAAGGGTGCCAGCGAGCGAAAAGCGGCGCCATGCGCAGG